CGGTTGGTGTTTGCTCGTTAACAGCTAAAGTGTCGGAGTACGGACTGCTGGGCCAGCCCAACGCCATCCGCACCAACTTCACTACCAAGCAGCTGACGGAGTTGGAGAAGGAGTTTCACTTCAACAAGTACCTCACCCGGGCCCGGAGGGTGGAGATCGCTGCTACCCTGGAGCTCAACGAAACCCAGGTCAAGATCTGGTTCCAGAACAGGCGGATGAAGCAGAAGAAGAGGGAGAAGGAAGGTCTCGCCCCGGCTGCTGCCTGCAGGTCTGCGAAGGACGCCAGTGAAGCCTCGGATCAGTCCAACTGCACCTCCCCCGAGGCCTCCCCCAGTTCGGTGTCTTCCTGAAACGCGTCCCCGCAGGGACCGGGGCTCAGCCCGGGGCTGCCCCGAGGGGAGCTGCTCCCTGCAGACCCCAGCAGACACACGCACACGAACATGCGCCTCCCACGCGCAGCCCCGTCCGCACACAGGCGTGGAAGCAAGGCCATGCTTCCCTCTGAGCAGTCCCTTTGGCTCTGCCTGTCTCCACACGAGTGATACCAGTTCTCCCGCTTACATTTCTCTGTCTTAATTTATAGACCCTCTGTAAAACACTGGACTCCAAAGGAGCAGCCGTGTCCTTGTATATCCCTAGCAATAGGCGTTTGTCTCAGGGACGTTTCTCCCTCCCCTATAGGAACTGCACTTTCAACTACAGAAACTTTAAAACGAATTTAGTTTTCTCCAGTTTTAAAAATGTGCACACCGACTTTTGCCTGCAAGAATCCGACGTTTGATGTATTTTTCCTCCCCACGAGATTGTAAAAAAGTTTTGTGTGTGGTTTTATTTCCCTTTTATTTACTGTATGTATATCTTGGAATGAGGTCTGAGGCGCCCAAGATGCTAGAGGCCTCTGCAAAAACCCAAACAAACACCAAACAAAAAAATGCAACCCCTTCGCTACCATTTTGCACTATTGCTGCTTTACAGGGTTTTCTACACGCTCGGCGACGCTGACTGTTACCGATCCTGGGGGAGGGAGGGTCGTGTAGCAGAGAAAACGAGATGAGGCGAAGGCTGACCTCGGGGTACTTTGGGCAACGGTCACTGTCGCGGGAGGTGTGAAGTTGGACGAGAATAAGGCTGCGGGGGGGCCGCGGGGCTTGGCTCCCCCAGGCACTGATGCACTGGCTGCTATTTATTGTACGGCTCGATAGCCTGAAGTCTTGGAGCGAAGTAGCACGGTTCCTTGTACCTCCACCCTCTTAGGCTTATCGGAGTCCGATAAAAGCGTTATTTAACCATGGCTAAATTGTTTCCTTTCCTCACGAGAAACTTTAGGGTAGGACGAACTGAAAACTACGGCAACTTTTGTTAAAGATTGTTTTAAAGGGAAAAACGTCATCGAGAAAAACTATCGGTTTTCTTAATCGGAATCTCCTATTTCCCTTCCACTCCCTTCCCCGTGCTCTGTATCTCGAAATGAAACTACCTCAGTCTAATAAAGTTTACTTTTTCCACATGCAAGTCCTCTCGATTCTAAGAGAAATGGAAATCTCTCCCGTCCAGGGAAATGCGCCATATGGGGCGGGGGGAGCCCAGGCTCAGAGGAAGAGGAGGAGGAAGGAAAAGGTCTGCGACAGCTGTTAATGGTCCCAACAAAAACGCCCGATCCTGCTTCCTGCCCGTACCCTCCAACACGCCCCTTGGCATCGGCAGGATCGGGACCGGCACTCGCCTCCGCTTCGGGGGCGTGCAAAGCAAGTCGCCCAGAGGGAACCGGATAGAAACGCAGCGCTCTGCATGTAGAATTATTTCACAGTGCAACGAGGCCTGATGAGAACAGAGAATCATCATCCTCCTCCTCCTCAGTGTAAGCATCCCGGCACGGAAGCTGATCTGCGTTACTGAAGCAGCACCATTAACTGGAACGGACTCGGGGTCTGGCGTGGGGGCAAAGCGGGTTTCTCATTCATAGAGAACAGTTCTGCGAGGCTGAGCTAACTCAAAACCAAAACGAAGCGTCCATTTGGCTTCCTCCCTTCAGCTTCCCAAGACGGCCCCTGAAAGTGTGTTTTCCACAGTATAAGTAACACACGAGACCAGTTCGCGCGGGGATGGAGCCCGTGGCACGGTGCGGCGGGCAGAGCCGTCCTGGGGCCGGGCGGGGAGGGAGGAGGCAGAGAGCCCGGGTATAGCTCTGACCTTTTTACCTCGAAACGCCTCTGGGATTTCTAAACAAGTAAACAGAGGGGCTGCCAGGAGAAACTATTGTTCTGGCTTCGTCAAATTTGCAAACCTTTTCTGTGGGGGCGTGAGTGGGGCGAGGAATAGACAAAGTACCTGCTGCAGCTGCGACCGAGCGCGGCC